AAAAAATGTAATGTATAGTAATCGAAAAAGTAATCAGTAAAACAACCCTTTTCACATGCGAAAATGCATTTTTTTCCCAGACCGATGTCCTAAGAAAAGTGGGGCATTAAATTTTGCATTATCTAGTATCGAGAAATGAATGTGTTTTAATGTGAAATTTTTGGAACTTTTTTAATACATTGGAATGCTGATTACATAGTTAACAGTAATATTATCGAGAACGCATAAGAAATACATTATATTATTTATCACGCATGTAATGCATTACTACTTTTCCGACTGGGATACATATATGTATGTACTGCAGAAAAGAGCTTGTCAATAAACCCACTGAAGTCCACCATTGTCCCATTTACCAAAAGAAGGAAAGTCAACTTGACTAGGCCCGCCTTGACAGGGATAGAAATGGAATATTCAGAAGAGGCAAATTATCTAGGGATAACTGTGGACAAAGGGCTCAGTCGGAACTCGCATCTCTCGAATGTGGCAAACAATGCTACAATTGCGTCTTATGCCTGTCATAGAATTCATGGTAAAACCGTGAGAAATATTTCTGTACCCAGGTGAAACCCACCTAATAAGGCTTATCTACAGCTTACTTCATGACAGAACTTTCGCGGCGGAGTGGGCTAGCGCCTGCACTCAGTGCAGAGTCATTAGGAGGACTCCACAAGGTGGCGTTCTCTCTCCTCTGCTCTGAATTGCGGTTGTAAACGACCTTCTAGAGAAACTGGAAAAAGCACTGCCACACGGAGCAGGCTGTGTGAGAGACCAAGAGTCGGTGATTAGTCCTCACACGGAAGTTGGTGATGTTACTCAGGTGAGCTCAGTGCAGCCGTGGATCTGAACAGGTTATTAAGTGACCTACCATGCACAGCAGAACTAGATTTCTAGTTCCGGATTTAGCTTGATGTAAGCACGGAACAGAAGGATGCGGACGAAGAGCGATTAAGAGATTTCACCGATCTAAACAAGGCCGAAACAACCGCCCATGGTTGGGTAAAATTTGGAACTTTGGAACCGACCGTCGGTTTAACTCGTTTTTGGAAGCTTCTATAGGCCTCGCATGGCTGGAAGAGAATTCCAACTAAATCCTTTATTGAGCATAATATACAGATATTTCAAGTTCGCGCTATTACTCCTTTCGTCTATCAAAACGTTCTCTGTTGTATCACTTTGATAACCCTGTGCGAAAGTCAATTTTACGCACAACGAAAGTCAACCACTCTAATTATAAATAGCACAGTCCAAGCTTTAAGAAAAAAATGCCCTTCGCCTCTCTGACCCTTCTACAGACACCTCGGGACCCATTTAAAAATGGGGTAAAATTACAGTACACCTGTTCCACAGTGCAATTTGCATTACTGGACAAGGAATACAATGAAACTGGTTCTTGTTTTTGTTGCTGTGTTAGCAACATGAATTTCCCCAAACATTTTTGGGGAATGTTGCTGAAGTGACAGTCCTGGGTTTTTCGGATTTGAAGATGCAGCTGTCGTGCGAATGATTCCCAAGGGCCCTGCTATATGTTATGAAGTCGATCACGTCGATAACCATGTTTAACCTGCAGTTAGTGTTAACCAGACATTAAGAAACTGGCCCTAAGATATTTTCGCAAAGCTGCCGATTAATTTTCGCCTAGTATGTACATACATACATACCCATATTTTACATTTTTCAGTGCCGCTGTTTAGTATGCAATCCATTTTTATTGAATCTTAGTGCCTAAATGTAGGCAACACAATTATTAAAAAAATGCTTTTCCTACTTGTATGGCGTCGTAAAAGCAATGGCAAATTGAATTCACGAGCAGCGGCAGTTTCCGATTGTATGGCAAGTACACTGTTAGCAGTTAGCGAGTGGCGAAACGAATGAACTCGCTATCGTCCATCTTTGCTAGCTAACTTTGTTGTTGCTTTCACATGCAGAATTTTTCACCTCAATATTTTCATTTCCGAAAAGTTTTTAAAACATCGAAAAACTTTCAGATCGAAAAATGCTTAAAATTATTTTCAAGAAAGCAAATGCAACCATGCACACTGATCGCACATGTACACGCGTCAATCGATAGCGAAACACATATACCAAACAAAAGCAAAAAATACCGGGTAGCAACCATAACACGGATCGAAAATACTGGGTTAGCAAGTGTGCAGATTTGACGGAAGCGCTGAAACAAACATCTGTGCCTGCTGCCCTTCCTCGTGTCTGTGGAGTCAGTGTTGGGGACGATGTTGTAGAGTGGAGTAGTTGTGCCGCTTTGAGTTCATCAAGATTCTCGTGCGTCTAGTGCGTTCAGTCGTTCATTGGATCGTTTGAATCGTCTGGCTTCTTCAAACATACATACATACATACATATATACATATGTACATAGTGTGCGCGAATTCACTGTGTTGTGTGTATCCAACGTTCAAATTGCCAGTTGTTGCCATCTTGTTCCGTCGTCGCAGTGATCGCAGTCGCGGTTCAGTCCTCATTTTCGATACCGTTGTTCCGCCATAGTTGTTGTCGGTGCCATTTCGTCGTTTGTTTGTTTGCATTTGTGGAGTGAAGTGAGTTTTTTTTTTAATTTTTCCACTGTTTTTTTTCTGGTTTGTTTGTATGAATTTGGGTTAATTCAAATACATACATATTGACGCAAGTAAGCGAATAATGACAAATGCACTTTCGAGAATTCGTTCAAAATTAAATTAAAAAAATTTGAAAAATGCTTAATGTTATACATGCATTTTCTAACATACATACATGCATAAGCACATGTTTATGTATTAAGCATTAAGCAAATGCAATATGTATGTGCAGACGTTGAAACTTTATTTTTAAACTTGCACTAAATTAGCAGGTAGAAAAAAGAAAATGATACCAAAGCGTGCGATCGAATAAGCAGATGAAGTTGCTATTAGTTTTTTTTTTATCATTTGATACATTTCTGCTACTACCGCTTCTTGCTGCAGATGCTTAGCTAAGTATGTATGTACATACATACATACATATGTATATATGTATTTGCAATTGGCACGCCACGTCTGCGTGTTGGCCACCAATCGCAGCTAGTGGCTGGAAAGTTGTGCAACGACCGGGGGGACATCATTGTTGCAACATGGAGTACAAAGTTATTTTTAAGACAGGAATTGTGAAGCCGAATGCTTAACCAACAAATATCATGCGCCAGCAGCGTGATTGGGCCAGGTGGTGGGGCCGTTGTCGATCGCAGTGTACGTGTATAAGGGGGGCGTATGGCGGTGGTGGTGACAAATCGTTGCAGAAATACCAGTAAATACGTACATGCATGCACTGTATGTACATAAATATGTATATATATGTACTTACACATACTGAATATTCATATGTACTTACAACTACATACTACATACTTATGTACATATTTATTTACGCAAACCAGCAGTTCAGTGAAAGTCGCTAATTCATGCGCCCTCAAAAGTCTCATACCAACAGCCCGCCGCAATGCTCGCCTTGTTGTTTGTTGGTATTTTTTTTTTTAACGCTTTATGTACTATGTACTTGAAATGGAGCGCAACCGTTCTTATGCCATTCTCTCAACTTGCAAAAGAGTTGAAGTAAAGTGGCCGAGGTAGCCCGTTTTATTGCCGCTTTTTATCTTGTTGCTCTTTAGCTGCAATCAGATATGATCAGAAGGAAATTTTTCGTCGTTTGATGCCAGTTTTTTTATAAGTAGGTACCTTACAGAGTGCATACATATGTACATATGTATGTACTTAATTGGAATTCTACGAACGTCCACTAAGTGCAATCAATTTAATGCTCGTTGACTCATTGCCTTTTTTGTTTTAAAGATTTATGTATTTGTTTTTCTAAATTTTTAAATCATTTTCGTTGATAATTTCGCCTTTAAAATTCTTTAAAAGGCCCGAAATTAATCGCTGCTACGTACATACATTGTAAGCGCGACATGTAATCAAGCAGCATCTGTCACTTGTCAAGATCAGTAGCGGCATGCAGTATAAAACATACAACAAGTCTTTGTTTTCAGAATGAATTTCGTATATGCATATTCATTTATTTGTAAATATGTATGCACATATTTACGTACATATTTATTTATATTCTTTAATGATTAATTTTCACCGCAAAAAAATAAAGTGTACAATATGGGAATTTCGTGTGATATTGCAGTACCTACTTGATTCACTTCCGTACGGTAAAACGGCATACGGTATCGATCATATCTATAGCACGCCATTTCAAAGTGATATTGTTTGCCACTTACAGTGGGAAGCAGTGATGAGTACAAGGTCCTTTTTATTAAATAATTGCAACAAATTTTCATTAAAATTGTGAGCTTTTTAATCTGATTTTTTAGATTTTTTTTTTTTGAGAATGCAGTTTTGTAGCCCATTAAATTTTAGTAGGTAGCTTTAGTGGTTTTTGTTTTCGTATAACAAATGGAATTTAAAAAAAAAAATCTCAAAAATCAACGCGATTTTGCAGCCGCTTAAAACTTGCACTTTATTATATTAAAATTTAATGGGCTAAAAAACTGCATACTCAAAAAATTATATTAAAAAAATCAGATTAAAAAGCTCAACATTTTAATGAAAATTTGTTGAATTTTTCCAAGCTCTATATAAAGTTTGAAAGTTTGATTTACATATGTGGTTTTGGTTAAAGCATGAACCATATTTTTATGAAAAAATAACAAAAAAAAAATGTTACTTTTAAAACCTTGCAAATATTTAACAAACATGACCATGTGCTCATCACTGCTCCCCACTGTATGTTTATGTTTACATACATATTTATATAAACATAAAGGGCAAACAATATCACTTTGAAATTGCGTGCTATAGATATGATCAATATCTGGCTATAACCAGTACATCATTATCGGCGATTTGGACGTCATACATATAACATGGAATCGATAAAGCAGTTGCTGTATTTAACCGGAGCTTCTACCTGCGATTTGTGTTAATCAAACATTGAACAATCGGCCCTAAGTATCATTTGGAAATTTAAAATCGGGCCGAAATCGGCGTCGCTATATAAACGTGTATCTGCCATGTAAAAACGCCTACCAATGAAAAGAGCAAAATGACCTCGGATAACTGGCCCCCAAATGTTGACGACCATCGCTCACGAAGTAAGGACTATGATTAATGGGTGCATATGTCCAGATCCTCTATAGGCAAGACATAAGGCTGACATCACTGCAATCCAGGAAAAGCGATGAACGGGACTCGGCTGCAGGAAATATGCAGCGTGTGACATCTATTATAGCTGCCAGTAGACGGCGCGAAAATTTGATGTCGCATTTTTGGTTGGGCGGAGACTACGACACCTCGTCTCCAGGTTCAATGCCGTCAATGAACGAATCGCCACGATCCGCATCAAAGCTACGTTCCACAACGTGAGACTCATTGTGAGGTCCGTATGCGCCTCTGTGCAATAAAGAACGTGCGTCAGGCAACGAGGTGAAAGTTCGACGTCGAGAAGCTGCATTCACAACAGACAGACGAGAAATTTCGCAATCGACTATCAATCTTGCTTAAACAAGAAACTCTTCAACGACCGAATACAAATGAGCAGTGGGAAACCATCTCCCAATTTCTTCGTGCCGCTGCGGGATAGGTGGTTGGATAGTACCGTCCAATCAGGAATGACTGGTATGACAAAGAGTGCCGCGCGCCGCTGTAGACGCTGTAGTACGCAGCATGCAAAGCCATACTGCAGCTAACAGCTACGCGAGCGACGCTGGAACTATACTACGAGATGAGGACGGAGGAGAGACGTATATTAAAAAAAAAAAGAAACGAGAGGCAGAAAGCCGTGGAAGCGGATGGGATATAATTGAGATGTGGAAGGAACACTTCTCAACGCTTCTGAATGGCGACACAGTTGGGGAGGCGCGTTTGAAGACTCATGTGGCGTTGCTGAACTGTCTCAGGTCAGTTTAGGTGTTGCCTCATAGATGTAAGAAATAGACGAGGGGCCGATATCGACAGTGTTCTTGATCATCACCTTAAATATAATAGTACATTTACTTCTTCGTACGGAGTCGGTCAAAGCGAGCGCTTACTCTGAAAACAAACGACCACATCGCTATTTACTGAGAGGTTAAAAAAAAATCCTCAAGTGCTTTCAAAACTTTCGGAGCCAAATTAAAGAACGGACAGCCACCATCTCGGGCATACCGAGTAATCAGTAGGTCAGCGATGGGAGGAAATTAAGACTATCAACCGTTCAGCAGGCGACACAGAGATTGGCAAGCCACTGCGCGGTTTTCGGCCCTCGATGTCCTAGAAAACTGGATGCTTATTATTGAGCGGGTGCAACTAAGAGCAGCTTAGACTCCGTCAGCTCCTCAGCGTGTCGACTATGCATATGAAGGGAGGTTGAAGAAAGTCACGGTGTCAATTGATTGTAAAGACCTGTTGTGCTTAGAGAGGGAAAAGTAAAAGTCACAAATACAAAATTAATAGAGATTTTCAGTACAAAAATCTGTAGTTAACTGCCGATTTTGAGTTAACTACGCACTGTGAAATCGACCCTTAGATGTTCATGCTAGTGTTGCATGTTCTATATACCGCTTTCTTTGAGTTTTGAGTTTTCGAAAATGCCCCTGATCCGCATTAAGTTTGAGAATTAATTCTAGAACTTAATCCGGATTAACTTAAGTTAATTCCCGAGACAATTCCGAATCAACTCTGCCATATGTCTATGCACACAGTGTGCATATGTAACCGGACACCGGCCTTCGTGAAAGCTTTCTGAACTGTATCTACAAATTTTCTTCTATATGTATGTACATTAGATAAAAAAAATCGGTACTATTTTTCCATTGGAATTAAAAAATCTATTATATTTTAAGGCGTCCAACAAAATATTTCGAAAAAATATTAAGCTTTAAGTGAGCTGTACCGATTTGAAAATACCTCCAAAAATTGAGTTTTTTATGAATAAAAATAGTTTCTTAAAGATTTTTTTTTTTTTGAAAAAAATCCCCTCAAATGGCAAAACGGTTTAAGCTTAAAAAAATTGCATAAAAATATTTAAAAAAAAATTAACAAAAATTTTGAACGGAATCGTTATGATGAGATTTTTGATGCTGTTTTTTGACTTTTTTCAAAGATTGGTATAAGAAAAACTTGAATAACCGAACCTACACTATTCCGATTTAGACTTAAGAGGTGTCATTGGAAAGATATTTTCTCACCCCTTTGCTAATAAACTCATTCAAAAGATGAAGGAGAAAGGTAGGAAGAAGGAACGTTTTTCAACGTTGAATTAAGATGTGTTGGTATTTGAAAAAAAAAAATTGGGACACGAATGACTTTTTTTGCGCAGAAATAAAAACAGCGCAAAAATACCTTTCTACTGAGATCCCATAAGCCTAAATCAGAATAGTTTTGGCCCAGTTATTAAAATTTTCGTAAATCAATCTTTGTAAAATGTAAAAAAAAACAGCGTCAAAAATGTCATTATTGCGATTCCGTTGAAAAGATTTTTAAATATTTTTATGCAGTGTTTTTTTTAAACTTAATCTAATTTGTCATCTGAGGGGACTTTTTTC